AACAAGACTAGTGTTTCCAAGTCTGTGTTAATGAATAATGCTATCTATCTGCAATGGAGTACTCTTCCTTGAATTTTGTTTCTACAGAGAGAGTTGATGTTTTGCAGTTCAAAGATTACAGGATGAAAGAATTCCTGCCTACATAGATGAAGATAACAACTTCTTTGTAGAAGATGATGAGCTATGGGTTCCTTTTTAAATTTCTTGGAAAATTATCTCATGTCAGAAACTCTTTGAAGAAACTATTCTCAGAAGGCTTGAAAATGCTGTTACTTAGATTCTTCTACCAAGGATATCTTCCTAGTAAATACACAGATGATAATAATCTATGCCATAAATTGAACAGGCTTTCAAGCTGTTGTAACAACATATGAAGCCTTGGAGAAGGAAGGAATCATTTCTTATGAATGATTCAGACACTACTGAATCACAGGACAAAACTTATGGACATCTTATCAAGGAATATCTATGCCAGTTGCATTTCCGAGTATACTGATATCTTTCAGAAATTGCAAGCAGACAGCTCTCAACCCTAACATCAGCAGAGGAACACTTAAATGCTTTTGAGGAATACTACCTACCTTTCCACAGCATGATCAGTCAGCTACTTTAGTATTTTAGAATTATGTTAAAAATATCACTCTGTGAGTGCTTCTATTCTGCTACAGGTGCAACATTCCATACTTCCCCGGGCTACACATGTACGCAGCGTACATTTACTCCACAGCACTTTTATACTGCTTGACTTCATCAGCTTCACACTAATATCCCCCTGAAGCATTTCTCTCATTTTCTTTCTCTTTAGCTTTGCTGATACAGTGGCAGGCACATCTCATAAGGCAATCACATTCGAGGGATGATGATGTAAAAAGTAAATCACAGTAGACTAATGGTAGATTTGCAGTGAGGAAAAATACGCTAATACTTCTCCAAGGTGTCATTCCAGACCTGGTCAAACAAAAAAACATTTTACTCAATGGAAAGTTTTCTTATAGACACCTCTAAATTTTCTGCCAGTAGGAGATTTTTTGGCTAACACAAATCTTTTCCTGCTATTTGATATTAGTAGAATCTGTCAAGAAGCACTCAGTGGATATAAAAGTCAAACCAAGTTCCAAGATATTGTTGCGTATACTAATGTTGCTCTAGTTAAGTGAAGAAAGAGAAAGTGAATACTTCAAAAGCCTAGAGATTTTCCTGAGATACTTGTTGCTGTAGGCTGCAGTAGCATCTGAACCAGTACTTGCAGAGTGTCAGGGAAACTGTCCTGCCAAAGTAAAAAAGCTAAGACATTCCTGCAACACCAACAGTTTCCCACGAGGTGTTTGGGCAGGTTTCTCAAAATAGTACACAAGAATTTTATACATGTGAACAGCATGTTGCATGTTATTTGCAGTATTTTGTCAGATCACTAGATACTTACACTATGAAAGCTTCAAATAACCATCTGAACCTTTGGTGGTGCAAATATTTTTCATTATTCATTACCTAATGGAGGTATAGTAACAAATGATACTGTGTCTGTGAACAATTTTGTAAAAGTACCAAAAGAAAAAGGAAACTTCTTCTGGAACCTGATATTTAATTATTTATTTTAAAACCAGACCTCTCAGTAGTATGAGTTGCGTAAGGATTTCCAGCAAAACAGCATAATATTTTTGTACACCTTTTCATGTTTATTCTATTGCTAATTCAACCTTTGCTTATAATTCATTCCACAGTATTCATCAGAATGAATTATTGACATGTGGGAAAATATTCACTGAATTGCTTAGAAATGAAACATGAATTATTCTGAAAGTTTTATACCTGCAGATGAAACAGATACCTGCAGCAGCTATTGCAAATTTATGATGAAATGTCAATTTCTTAATTGAATACTTGCTCACATCATTCAGTAGTTGAAAAAACTAAAATAAATACTGAAAATTAATGAAATATTTCATCACATTAATAATTTTTAAATGTTCTGAAGCAGTCATAACTGTAGAAAATAAAAAAAAGTGCTAATGGAACATTGAAATTATTTTAGAGTCTGATAAGTATCATTCACATATGTGACAATGTTGTTTTATTGTTTATGCACTTTGTTTTGAACAAAATATCTTACATAGTATCACCTAGCTAGTACATGATCAAGACATGACTGAAAAGAGCCTGAAATGCCAAAACGTTTTAAAATAGAAGCATTTATTGTGAAGAGGAAAGCAGTATGCAGAATGATACTGCCAATTTGATTCTACAATATTTCCAAGAACACCACAAATAACAGGGTTTGAAATATGAAAATGAAATTGCCTGAAATAGAAATACTAAAACACAGCACGTTCCCTTACATAAGGTGAACCAAAGAAATGAACTTCATGAATGTCCAGTTGACTATGTATCAATTTTCTAAATGTAATCAGATTCTGTTTTGGAGAGAAGTAATGGTCACTTTTTCAATTTAATTTATTAATATATTTGAAAAATATAGATCATTCAGTCACCTCCACAATCATTGCCTGCATCCTGTATCTAACTTCAGACAAAACAACGCTAAAAACATATATATTAAGAATAATGTCAGTTATATAGCATTTTTATGGTGAGGCAGTTAATGTTTTCTTCCAAGCACAGCTATTCAGAGAGAGACAATGACATCTGCAGCAACAGGGAAGTATAAAGAGTGCAGTCTTTCTTGCTATTGCCTTCTTGCTAACACTTACATTACTGGAAATGGAAAGATATTACAGCTATCATAATGAGGTACAAAATTCTTCAAAAGGAGGTTAACCAAACCAGTTAGAGTTAAGACTGAGTTTCATAAGACAGTGTGCTGCAATTCAGTTTACTCATTCACCTGCAACAAGAGTTGAGTGCATTGAGTGTAGGCTCAGTGACCAGCTAAAAAATACGTTCTTGCCTCTAAGTTAACAAAGGACAAAAAAAACCCCTTTTATTTCTTAATGTTAATATAGATATATAATTCCTGATTCATTTTGCCATGACCAGATGCTTAGTATTATACAGTCAGATATCTGCACATTTTATAGTACTATGTGGAAAGAGGGAAATACCAGAGAAAATGAAGAAAACATGGTGAGATAAAGCTCATAAAATTCTAAGGCGTCTACTAAATTTCTCCTATCTAATTGGTCTAGGATCTAGGATCCTTTAAGTTGCCTTATGTTGCTGCACATGGGCACCCTGGGGAGATACCCACAGGGCTCCACCCCATCTGGGCCCCCAAGTTCCAGAACCGAGGTCACCATGGTGTTTGGTACTAACCTGGTGCTGGCCTGGCAATGGCCCCAGTGCCTGCACAGATGGTGCTGCGAGTGGCAGCACCAGGGGCACTGGGGGTGCTTCCTTCTTGTGGAGGAGTGCTCCTGTTGTATTTTTCCACAAGTTTTCCACACATGTGTCTTCCCCCAGCCCTGTCAGAATGGGGCAGTGGCTCTGCTGCTGCGGGTCCAGGTGGGTTCCCCCACAGCTCAAGGATGCACCAGCAGAGCCAGTCCCTGCAACAGCCGCCTTGCTCATGCCCGATGCCATCTGTCCTGCAGAGATGACTGTTGCCCTGACCAGCAGTGTGAGCCTGACCCGGCATTGCCTGAGCCACTTCTCAGGGAGCGTGTGCGGGTGACCCAGGGACATGGCCAGAGGAAGAAGAGAGACCTCCTCCTCTTCAGAGACACCGTGGTAATCACCAAGACCAAGTAAGACAGCCAGAGCCCAGCTGCCTTTCTTACCAAGCCCTGGCCCTGGCACCAGGGCACCAGAGCAGAGACAGCCAAGGAGCAGCCCCAGGCCCCTGGCACCCTGGTGCTGGCTGCACCTGTGGCCATGCCCATGGCAGGCAGGCACTAGAGGGGAGCCAGCGGGCTCGGCCACCTCCAGCTCACTCCCTGCTGCTCCTCTCTACAGATGTGGCAGCAACCCGTGCCCACTGCTGTGCCTGGCCCTGGGCCTGCTCCAGGTGCTGAGCAACGGGAAAGGCTCTTCTGGCGATGCTGCCAAAGAGAAGGAGGAAGGGAAGGCCTCCAGCTCCCTTGTCTTCCTCTGGCCCTGCAGCTCCTGTGTCATCACCTTGTGGTGAGTCTCAGTGCAATGCCCCACCAGAGGGGTGGGCAGCACCTCTGCTGTGCCCCACGGGGCATCATCCACTGCGGCACAGCAGGCACTGAGGCTGTTTCTCCTCTCTTTTGGCAGCTCCCGAGTAGTGAAGGAACTCTGAGTCAGCACCCTCCTTGGGTAAGCCCTATCTGGCACTGCAGCCTGGACTGCCTGGGCTCCCATCATGGGGGGATGCTCCATAAGTGGCATCCGAATTATGATGAAACATCTCTGTTGATTTGGGCAGAGTTGCCCCCACTGCGGAGTGGGCACATCTGCTGAAGCTGCATCATCCAGCTGTGCCAGCTAACCGTTGCCCAGCCCCATCCTCAGCACCGCTGCTGCTCCCGCTCCACTGCCAGGCGGTCATGGCTGTTTCTGGCAGTGTGGAAGCACTCCCCAGGCTGGCAGCAGAAGGAAGAGCTGGCTTGAGTCTCACACAGCTCTTTCTCTCCCCCTTCCCTGTGCACAGACCACCCGAAGGAGTTCGGGGAGCCTGGGTGACCCAGCTGCCGTCCATCAGGATGGTGCTGAAGGAGCTGAGTGGCCGCCATGCTGTGAGTGTCCCTCCTGCCTCTGCTTTGCCTGCAGAGGCTGCCGCAACCCAGCACCAGCTGCATTGCTCCTCACCTTTTGCTCTTTTCCCCTTGCCCAGGGGACGACACTGGATGCCAGCAGCCTGGAGAAGCTGCTCCAGCTCCAGGCCCAGGTCAGGGTCACTTGCAGTGTAATCTCACCCATCCCAACCTCTCACACACAGCCAGCAGCTGATGCATCTCTCCAGGGAGCCTTTCTGCTGTGTGGCTCCTTGGTGAGTGCAGCCCATTTCTTGCAGGCTGGTGGCAGGCAGCTGCCAGTTCCTGTCCTCTCCAGCAGTGAAGGCAGACGTGGCCACGCGGATGGTGAACAGCAGAGGAGCTTTTCTGGGGAGAAAATGTAATACTGCCTAGCTTTGCTTGGTTCAAGGTAATCATGGCTTCAGCTGTCTAACAATACCATTGAATGGAAAGGTTCCCAGGCTCTTCACACCACACCAGGAAGGAAAGAGCAACCTGGGAAGAGGGCAGCGATGGGCCACTGTGCTGGAAGACCAAAACTGAGCTGTCAGGGATAGGCAACTGAAGAAATTCAAGCAGGGGAAGAACAAGGCACCCAGGTGTGTAGCATAGACTGTGTTCCATCTTTTGGAGCTTTCAGCATAGGAAACATTCCTGAGGTGCACAGGATGGTCCTGTACAGGAGGCATGCACCTGCCCTTGGAGGAACATATATGTCTGGAGAAACATACTACTGCAGCATTGCCTGCTAGCCTGTGATTTTAGTATGGCAGAGAGAGGGATGCTGATGCTTGGGTTTTGGAAAGGACCATATCCCAGCTTCCAAGGGCTCCCTGCCGAGTCCTACCACCTGGCAAGGGGGCACTGCACATCTCTGTCAACTTCCTGTGCTCTGAGGGTATTACATGTATTGAGAAGGGACAAAAGCAACACTGTAGTTGCCAGTTAGGACCCAGTAATGAGCCTCTCTACTGTGCTAGCAATGACCTCTTTTACAGCATACTTCCAAAAAACCCAGGAGCCAAGTCCCTCCTGCTCCTGCCCTCATGGCTTCATCAGTGCTTTCTGACTCTGCCCTTGTAGGTGCCCATTTACTGCTTTGAATTCCCCTTATGCGCTCTGCTGCCTGGTCTTGGAGTTCCACCCTGTGGCCCCAGCACCACCTCGGCATCTGTCTTGGGTTCAGCAGTAGCAGTCATGTTTCTCCTTCTTGGTAGCTGATGCAGTGCAGTGTTTTGACTTTCGGCCTGGGAACAGAGCTGATAGCGATGTTTTGGTTTGGCCAAGGGCTTTGTGAGCCTCATGCTCTGCCAGGGAGGAGGGGAAGCCAGGAGGAAGTAGAGACAGGACACCTGACCCAAACTGACCAAAGAGGTATTCCATACCACAGCACATCATGCTCAGGATGTAACTGGGAGTTAGCCTGAAGGGCTGGGAGACTGCAGGGTTGGAGGAGGTATGGGTCAATGCTTGGTCGGGCCTGGGGAGCAAGTTATCGGTCGGCTGGTGGTGAGGTGTTGTATTCTCTTCCCTTGCTATTTCCTTTATCATTGTTATTATTGGTGGTAGCAGTAGTGATTTGTGTTATACCTTAGTTACTAAACTGTTCTTATCTCAACCCGTGGGAGTTGCATTCTTTTTGATTCTCCTCTCCATCCCTCTGGGAGCAGGGGGAGGGAAAGAAGGGGGGAAGTGAGTGAACGAGTTACCTGACTGGGTTTAAACCACGACAGCAGCGGCGAGGACAGAGCCACCATGTCCTTCTGCTCTGGATAGAAGGTTCCACCACCTCGCCCCGGAGCCAGAGCAGCGCCCTCAGACCCATCCCAGCCCTCGCAGGAGGCCTTGCTGGCTCATTCCTCAGCCCCGCCAGAAAACGCCCACCCACTGGAGTATCTCCCCAAGTGGGGAGCTGGCCTCTGGACTTCAGCTTACCACATTCACTGCCACATTTGTTACTATCATTGTTGCTACGGTGGTTACTAGGTTTGTTAGTACACTTGTTACTGTGTTTTTAACTATGTTTATTAGTCTATTACTATGTCTTTTAGAAATATATTTTAGGATATACTTTAGGATAGATTTAAGTTATAGTTCAGGAAACAAGTTATAGGATATAGGATATAGTTAGGATATAGTTTAGGAAGCATGTTATAAGTTATTTCACCCTGTGTTAGTACACACTTCATAGGATCATAGAATAGTTGGGATTAGAATAGGATAGTTAGGGTTGGAAAGGACTACTAGTAATTTCATGTTATGTCACAAGACTACTCTTTGAGCGGCTTTTCAGCTGTATTACAAAAAAAGAATTCTGCAGAATGGAAAACAGAAAAGAAAGTATACTGAGAGAGTCTTTTGATTAGGAAAGAAATGACAGAAAGATATTTATGAGTGCAGAAGGACTACTGCTGCACCTTGAAAAAGATCCAGATAAGCTCCAGAAGAGTATTGTCTACTGTTGGAATACTGCTGCAAATCTTAGAGACCTGTTAAGGTCCAGAAGTAAAGAGATACTTGCTTCGAAAAGAAAATGCACAGGCAGCAGAAAGGAGCATTGAATTGCACCGCTGTGTTTTCATTGACAACTGCTCATGGTGGACAGAGAGATGCTGAAACAAAAACAAAAGAAACAACAGCAAGGAAACAAAATAATAATAATAATAAAAAAAACCACCACATAACCAACCAAGAGCCTCCCACCCTAAATCTTATTTTGAAAAAAAAAAACAAAAAACAAAAAGCAAGCCCTCAGATCCCTCTGCACTCTGATGGGAGAAACACTGGGAAATGATAGCAGGTGTCCCAGGCATCTGCAAACAGAACTGTCACAAATCAGAGTACCAACAGAGGGATTTGTTTGTAATAGGGTTGAGTGACTGATACACGCTTATTCCCCTTGCATTTACTGGAATACATTGTGCAGACTGCCTGCAGTTCTCAGCGTTGCTTCATATGTATTATGCCTTTCTGAATTTTCTTTACCATTTCTATACAGAAATAAAGTGTCAAATGCATACCTGGCCAGTCTCTGTATTTGGATGAGTCCGTTCCCTTCTTATTCCTCTCTCTGTTTCCGGGTTTCCCTTCTCTCTCTCTCTGATACTTACCTGTCCAATAAGACAAGAAGGTCATGCAATTATTGCATTTGTATAAGCCTTTTCTTTCTCCCAGGAACTTTGTTTTTTCTCCTAAAACACCTGAGGAGACATTTGCATCCAAGAAAAGGTCTTGACAAGGAAAGAACTTGAGTATGTTGCTGCTGCTTCTAATCTAAGAAACAAAAGCACTACTTTTGCCCAGAAGGCCACTGGTCAGTATTTCTGTGATCTTGCTATGCTTCCATTCCATCTTTCTTCATATTCAGTATCAAAGCCCCAAACCTCTTGGCCGTGTTTCCATACCACAGACTCTTTTAGGAAGAGAATAGTTTAAAGAGTATAGGGACCTTCTGCTTATGGAAAGATTAATTTTTGTCTCCTGTGAATGCTCCACCCCTGGAGGTCTTCAAGGCCAAGTTGGACAGAGCTTTGGGTGACATGATCTAGTGTGAGGTACCCCTGCCCATGGTAGGGGTGTTGGAACTTGATGATCTTAAGGTCCTTTCCAATCCTAACCATTGTATGATCCTACAAAAAAAAAGTGAATATATGGTACTGAGTCTGATCTTTTAGAAATAAATAAGGCATTTCAAGAATACAGTGGCCAGTCAGACCTTTCTTTAAACATTAGATTGTCTTGGGAATTTTTCAATGACTGTTTCTTTCATTATATCACACGGATGTACCAAGTCAGAAAATATTTATAGGAATATATATTTTATATTAAAAAGATGTTGGAAATTGTTTTTTTTTAATAAAATTAATTATCTGGTGAGAGAAAGGGACAGAAGTGACTCCAAAAAGCCAACTGTTATTGGACAGCCACTTTCAGCAAGGATGTGGAAGTTTGAACCTACCCTAAAACTTAGCTAAAGAATCATATCTAGTTCAATTTCATATCCAGTTAAAAATTCAAGTGGATGGGCATCAGAGTCTCTATAAAGTCTTCATAAAGACCATAGTTTGAAGATCAAGCCGTTCAGTTAGTGTATAACATTTCAAGACTTCTCATTCATAAGGCAAATCAAAAGTGGTAACAGTGTCTCCTGGACAATGGATTATTAAAATGAGAGTCCAAGGTCTTACCCACACCTCAAGACCAGCTGTCACTAACTTGATGAGATAATTGCTACACAGGGCCTCCTAAATACCTTATCTGTTTATCCTAAAGAGAGTTAGGCAGTGTTGCCCAAAACAGAGTGAGGAAGTGACCCATGATACTTCAGGCCATCAGGGCAGAGATGCAACATACAGATGGGCCCGTGATCGAGGGGTGGACTTAACAATGGACAGTATTGCCCAGGTTATTCATGAGTGTGAAACATGTGCTGCAATCAAGCAAGCCAAACGGTTAAAGCCTCTTTGGTATGGAGGACAATGGCTGAAGTATAAATATGGGGAGACCTGGCAAATTGATTATATCACACTCCCATCAACCCACCAAGGCAAACACCATGTGCTTACCATGGTGGAAGCAACCACCGGATGAATGGAAACATAAGCTGTGCCCCACGCTGCTGCCCGGAACACTATCCTGGGCCTTGAGAAACAGATTTTGTGGCGACACGGCACCCCAGAGGGAATTGAATCAGACGCCAAAAGGAACTGTCATGGTTTAAGCCCAGCTGGCAATCCAGAACCAGGCAGCCACTCACTCACTTCTCCCCTGCACTTCCTCCCCTGACTCCTGGAGGGATGGGGAAGAGAACAGAAAGAATGTAACTCCCATGGGTAGAGATAAGAACAGTCTAGTAACTAAAGTATAACACAAAACCACTACTGCTACCACCAATAATAAGTAAAACCCCAAAACCGTACAGGATGTTGAGAACAAAGGATGAATAAAAGCTAAAGTTCCCATACCCTTACTCCAGTAAGGGGCAGCGAGACAGGGGCAGCAAGGGAGTTGAAACATGTTCCCTCATCCCTATGAATGTTTTCTATCTATTAGAGCAAACTGAAGCAAACTGGAATGAATGATCTGGAGCACCCAAGTCGACCAAGACTCCATCCAGCCTGGCCTTAAACACTGTCAGGGATGGAGCATTCACAGCTTCCCTGGCAATCCATTCCAATGCCTCACCACCCTCACAGTAAAGAACTTCCTCCTTATACCTAACCTAAATTTCCCCTGTTAAAGCTTGAACCCATTACCACTTGTCCTATCACTACAGTCCCTGTAGAAGAATCCCTCTCTGGCATCCTTGTAGGCCTCCTTCAGATATTGGAAGGCTGCTATGTGGTCTCCATGCAGCCTTCCCTTCTCCAAGCTGAACAGCCCCAACTTGCTCAGCCTGTCTTCATACGGGAGGTTCTCCATTCCCCCGATCATCCTTGTGGCCCTCCTCTGGACTTGCTCCAAAAGCTCCATGTCCTTCTTGTGTTGAGGACACCAGAATGGTACACAGTACTCCAAGTAAGGATCAAAAC